ATCAAACTCATCAAAGAGTTTCAGCCATTCAGTCAAGGCTGTATGGGTCATCTTGGGTCAAGCAGTGATTCAATGATAATATGGTTCAGTCAGCCTGAGACTTTCACGTGTTTGGTTCAATTCCACTCCATGACATGTTACTGTTTCTAGTTTACTTCTGTAACCTAGAAAATGACCTGTAGATTTTTGAGGCTCAAATCCTATCCCTGAGTGATTCAGGAGAGGCCAGACCCCACTTTAAGAGACATGCCATACTGTAAAGCAAAAGGGCACTCTGATCTGTCATCTCATGTTCTCCCCTCATTTGATGGATTCCTTTTGCTGTATCCAAAGTCCTGAACTCTGCTGCAGAGACAGGAGCCCAGGGCTTATCCTGGGTGCATGAAAGCACCAGGATTAGGTGGAGACTTCCCTTTAAACCTCCCTTAAGCTCACTCTTAACTATGTTGGCTGTCCATATGCAGCTGTAAGTATCATACCTTGATTAAGCAAAAGCCTTTTGGCTCCCTGATGGGATTTCTCCTCTGAATGAACTGGACAAAGACTTTTTGGAAAAGTCACAGTACCTAAAGATATATAACCTGGGGTAGTGTAATGAAGCAGAGCAATGCAGACTCCCCAGGCAGGTGCAAGAGAGCCCTTTATTGCAAAAACCAGGCCTTTTAAAGCAGTTAGGCCTTTATCAGTTACATTCTAATTAAGAACAACAAATGTAACCAACAACCATAAACCACAATATGAACACATAATGGTTATATAATTTGGTTTTCTACCTCTAATTCAGCTGAGTCACTTTCCCATAGTCTTTTTCTGTTCTGTTTCTGAAGTAACAGGCCTGAGCCATGATTTTACAAGGGTAACAAGGCCCTTCCTTATTTTGTAAGGTTTTGCCTATATGCAACAGGGTAGGGCTTCCCAGTTGTGGCAGGTGCCCTGCCAGAGGTAATGCAGAGGATTTCACGATGGCATGAAGGTATTTAATGAATATTTGAATGCCTCTCCTTGCCCTAAGAAACATGGCCCAAGATGGAGACAGGAACTTCAGAACAGCTGCCTCTGCCATCTCTGCCTCCAGGTGAAATGAGCACTCTGGAGAGAAGCAGAGCTCCCTGTCCCCTGCCTTGCCCCAAGGAATGTATACTTTTGGTCCAGAAGTTCATGATTTTCCTCAAAGGCTAGCCCACTGTGTTTGTGCCCCAATTGTAAATGTCAGGGGTCCAGCTGAAGTGCTGACCACCTATGTGAAATCCCAATGAAGCAGTAAGGCTTTAAAAAATTTCCCTTCCTAACTGCATTTTCTTATATTTTAAATAAGCATATGTTAGCCTGGAGACTTCTGTCTTCTGTAGAAAGCTGTTAGCAACACTGTATATCTCACTCATTCCAGCACATTTTACTTCCCACAAATGTTGACAACCCTGTGCAAAGCAATGAGGATCTGTGCTTCTGACCATCACCTGTCAAGGAGGAATTCAGAGAGGAAAGCCAAGAAATCAGGGATGAGGAATGGATGGGAGACACTATTTGGCTCATTTTTTTTCATCTGCTGAAGACAAACAGAGCTGCAAAACTGGCAGCGGAAGAGAGAGATGTTACTCCCATTCCTCTCCAGTCAATCTAGTGAATAATTAATGCACTTTAACTCAGTATATAACAGTATACTTTTAGCAACACGTGCTACTACTGCAGCTATTGAAGTACCATAATATTAAAGATGCATAATTGGATGAACTGCAGGAACCCAAGAACACGGTGAAAAATTCATGGCATGCTTTGGGGCAGCAGTGATTGCTGCCGTGAGCCGTTCCCCGTAAGGGCACTCAGCAGAAAGAGGCGGCACCGGCCTGTTTTAGGAAAGTAAATTAACGGAGAAGAAGGAAGCCAAGACGGGCACTGTCCTGGCCTTTATTCTGGCACTGGCTGTTGTGGCTAAACACGAGGGGGTTAGCGCTGCCGTCAGCTGCAGTCGGCAGCCCTGCGGCTTTCCCAGCGAGCCCGGCCGGCCGCTGTGCCGCGGGGCGCTGCTGGGCCCGGGGGCGGGGCGGCCGCGGCCGTTGTGGGGCGGGAGGTTTGAACGGCGGCGCCGCCGAGGAGGATGAGGATGATGAGGCGGCAGCAGCCCGGCGGGCCGGGCGCCGCGGGGCCGGTGAGTGCTGGGGCCGCCAGGGCAAGGCAGACCCGAGCCGGGCCACACTCTCGCGTGCCGTGGGGGCGGTGTGGCGGGCGGTGCCCGGTTGCGGGCGGCCCGGGGGGCGGGAGCTGCGCTGTCTCCGAGCTCGGGTCTGTGGGGGCCGCGGGCTGCCCGCGCCCCGTGGGAGCTGAGGGGGCTCTCCTGAGGGGGGACGCGGCAGAGCGGCTGCTCTGGGCCGGGCCGAGCTGGGCCCCCGCTCACGCTGTCCTCCGGAGGCTCTCGGAGCTCCTCCCTTGCCCCTCTTTAATCTTTCTTGGTTTTCCGATTCATGAGGGGTTTTCTTACACTTCGAGTTGCTTAAAAACCCGAATAACTTGAGCTCGGGAGTGTCTGTGAATCTGTGGTTTTCAATTGCAGCAAATGCTCTTTCTCTGTCTACCTGCAAAATGCCCAAGCTGGTGTCTTGACTGTTTTGCCCCTGTTTTAGAAGAGTACCCACTGCCTAGCTACTTGCTTACTTTAAAAAGATATACTATACTTATGGGGTTTAGATTTGTGGGGTTTAGGTTTGTAGGGTTTAGATGTAAACCACTGTGGCAGTAAATCAGAAGTGTACCTTGGAATAAGAATCTGAAAGCCTGTGATGAAGTTACCAATTAAATGAAGTAAATTTTCTACCTTCAGCAGTATCTGTATAATTTTTTTCAGCTGTTGTTATTTTTGTTTGTTTTGTGACTGCGTTACCTTTCTAATACTAGAAATTTCTTATACTGAGTATACTTAGGTGGGGAATACAAAGACTTTTTAGAAGCATTGCTGAGGCAGCTCCTGAGTGTGGGGCTGAAAATCCCACAGCCGTTAATGACCTGGTCTGGGTTGTGCTGCCGGTGGGGGGGGAAGGATGACCCTCACAAGGGAACGGTGTGTCAGTAGACAGCATATGGCAATACAGTGCTGTGTCATTCCTCTGAGTCCAGATGGTGTGCCTGTATTTTTAGACAGAATGGGGGGGGAAAAAAAGCTAACCAATCTCTTTTGGTAGGCACAAAGAACTTTATACATTCCCAAATCAGGCTGCTAAATCCTTCCTTCAAATGAGATTTAAATAGTGTTGTTATTTAAGCTATGGCCCAACAGCCATCTACTGCTGGTCTGGAATATTTTATGTGAACCTGGCTGAGATGTAGTGTGATCTGAATGCTTTGTGCAGTTCTTGAAAGCCAGTATGGGTACATGCAGATGCCCCAAATAGGAATGTTTATTTCCTCACTGTAGATAGATGTGGAGAGGAGCCAGGGCAGTGCTGAGGCCTGCTGTCTTGGGAATTATTAGGGGGAAGTAGGATCTCATTCTTTGGAGCTTTGTAGCAGCTGATTTATTAGTTTAGGTTCAGAGAATAAGTAATTATTTCTTAGGGACAGGTATGGGCCTTGCTTAGGTTTTCATAGCCGTGTAAAATTTGACTCGGAAGAAAAGAAGATGGATGAAAGCTATTTACTGGTCTCCTCTTTTTTTTTGGTTTTCTTTTCTGGGATGAGTCCTAAGAAAAAGTGTCAATAAAGATGCAGATGCTGAGAATGCAGAGATGTTGTTGCCCTGCTTTATCTCCTTCTGGCTGTGATTGAAACTTTAAAAAGCAAACCTGTGAGGGTTAAAAATGGGATAGTCTATGGTGCCATACGGGGTCCCAGGCTTTCATATATCAGCTGTAGAGAGTACCAGCAGAACTTCAATGGAAAATGTCCCTGTGAGCTTTGGGAGCCATTTCCCACCAAACAACCATGAACTTGTTAATTCCAGAGGTAGTAGAGGCACTCTTGTTTAGTAATGGGAAAGCGTCGCTCTTCACTGGCCTGCAAAGTATTTGCAATGTAACCCTGCAATACCATGACAACATTCTGTTACTCACTCTGTTATTGTGTTAGAAATACCCTGGTTTGGCCAGGGACAGCCACAACACGAGGTCATGTGTATCAGCCATCAGTGGCATCTGTGGGCCTTTGGGAAACAGCACTCTGTGGTCCTTCACCTTCATTATTTCCTGGCCTGCTGTAGATTGACCTCTTTGAAGTCACAAGTGAGGAATAATGCACATTTATTAATGTTTTCTCTGAAAGCAGGCAGGAAAAAGTTGACTTCTCAGCAGTTTTTATAAAACCTTAAAAACCCCCACTCCTTCAAAATACAGCGATGGTGAATTCCAGTGACTTGCCAGCCATGTTTAGTTTACTTCATATTTTCAATGAAAAGTGTGCCTGACATGATGCCTGTATAGTCTTGAAGCCACCACAGCTGTTTTCAGTTCAGGGCCTGATGCAGTTGAGTATTGGGATCAGTCTCTGGATTTTTTTTTCCCTTTTGCTGTTACCTGAATTTCATATCAACCATAACTGAAAAAAACAGATTCTCTTTACTTTTTAAAAGACAGTTGAAGAAGTGATGAGACTGAATTTCTGATTTAAAATATTTCAGACATTTTCTTCCGTTTAAAATTTATTTTAGTAGAGGTCACTGTTAAAAGTGGGTTGTTAATTTATAAGCTTTGTTCAGTTAGCCCTCTCTAGGACCATATGTTATTATTCTATGAATGACACATGGAGGCACATAAAATTTTAGTAACTTTCAGATGGTACAGTGAGTTAATCTTGGATTGCAATTTGCATGTATAATGGATATAGTAAATCTGTTTTGTCCCGTGTTTTACTCATTTGTTCCTGAAGAGAGAACCACCATTCTGCATTCAGTAACCATTGCAATTGCTGTGCATAATTAAAACCTAGAGTTCTCTATCCCAGCTGCAGAGGATGTAAAAAATTGAGAGCACTCTTAGTTAATTTTAGTTTAATCTTTGGTTTTTTTGCATCTCTAGGAATGTGACATCCAAGAGAAGATGAACTTTGAGCTCTGCATGCGGGAGGGGATCTGCAGGCTGCTGGCAGTGAGCACGCAGAGGGAGCAGCTCCTGCACGCTGTGAAGAACCTGCTGGTGTGCAACGCTCGCATCCGGGCCTACAGGGCACAGCTGCAGGCCCCAGGGGAGCAGCAGTGAGTAACAGCTCAAATTCATGGGAGCAGAAGCCAGCAGGCATTCACTTACAGTCTGTCTAGGAATGTGGATTGAAATCCTTCCTTATCTCCTAAACATAAATTACTTCTGCCTTAAAGCATTACGTTATAAAATAATTCCATTATCTTCTCTTTGCTTTAGAAAATTAAATACAAGTCATATTTTCCTGGCTAGATTTTATTTTTGACATTAATTTAGTATCAAGTAACACAAATATTTTCTTGATTGTCCTTAGCATACAAAAAGGTGCCTAGCCAAGTCAAAACAAAACTATCCAAGACAGAACACAGCTATTTATATTTTTCATTCTTTCTATGGTTATCAAGGGTCCTTTAATAATGGCCCCATCACAGTTAATTGGTACCCTCTGCTGGCCGTTTATGCTAACTACAGCGAAGTGATAAATGTAACACTCAGTGGGAAGAAAAGTAGCTGAAAATATTCTCACCTTTTAACTCTTGAAGGAGCTAAAGTATGTGTGTTTTATTTGAATAATGTTACAAAGTTTTGGTCTAAATGGAATTTATTTGGGGTGCAATGCTGTGAATCGTGGTGCAGAGGCACTGTTGCTCTCAGGTTAGTAATTTATTCAAATATTATATTGCAGTTTAGTGTAAATACGTACTCTGTGAGTACATGCTTGGCTCCAGTTCATTGTGTCTGTAGGAGCAGTTCCACTACTTTTCAGTTTGAGAAATGTTCCCCTATAGGAGAAATGTGTTGGAGGAAAGAGCAGTGTTTTCTGTCCACTATTCTGAAGCTGCTTTTGAAAACTGGCATATGATACATGTGGTATTCTGTAATTATTGCATTTATATTGCTTTTTCTGAATAAAATAAGGAGTTTTGCAGTGAATCATCTTTTATTTATGTATTTAGTGATGGAATAATATCAAGTGTGTATATGTGCTGATTTACTCGACTCCTTGTCTTTGATATCAGCCAGTGAGCACAGAATGGTGGTGGCACATGTCCAGACCAGGGCAGGGACATTTGGAGATGTATCTGAACAGTTGCATTGTGTACTTGGTGTGTGACTGCCATGCATTGCTTGGATTTCTATCTTCAGGGGCATTGAGATGTCCATGGAGGTCATTAGAGGAGATGCATGCTACAGAGCTATGTCTCTATCATTTAGATTATATATTTGGTACTTGATAGTCCATTTGGAGTTCTTATTCTTTTGATATTTGCTTCAGACTGGAATTTGTTTAAGGCTTAATCATTGCAGAGAGAAAATTCTAGGATGTATCATCTGTGAGTTCTGAAGTCACAGATGGTGGCCTCTGGAAGTCATGATACTGCTAGCAGCTAGAAATTTTCATTTTATTAATAGAGGAGGAGGCAATTCTTTAAACAATAACAGAACCAATAAATTAAGTTGCATCCTCATTGACACATACAGAAGGCAAAAATTGATAATATGTTAGATCCTGTTGCAGTTGGAAAAGACAAGGAAGATGTGTGTGTGACTTTACTTTGGAGTAAAGTCTTCTAGGGAATTTTAAAAAATGGTGGTGTACCTTCCTCCCAGATTATGCTTAAGAAATTAATGACTCATATCTTAAACCAGAGATACCAAAATTAACTTTAAAGAAAAGCATTTGAAATGAGCTTTAATGTGAAAATCCTGACACTTCTTAGTGTTTAAAGGGTTGAGTTTTAGATATCTAAATGCACAGATCTAAATATCTTTTTTCTTTCTTCTTTTTTGAAGGTCTTCAGAAAATGGGACAAAAGACCGGACGGCTTGCAGAGCAAGGGTTGCTATATCAGGTAAGAGGCCGGGGAGTCATTTAATTACAGAAGCTAATTAGCTGGACAGTGTCTTCTAATACAAACTATACAGAAAATATGGTATTTTTAAAGTATAAATGTGGTTCAGAGGCATCACTGCAAGGGGACTTGTGCTTAAGTTACACATGGGCTGTTGAAGGTCCTGCCCTCTATTTCCATTTTACTCACAGGGCATTGCACAGAGGGAAATACTTCTTTTCTGTTTGCCATAAACACTGAATGCATTTCAAAGCTAAATCAGTGTGAGTGAGCTGAAAACTTTGTTTCTCCCCACAACAGCAGACTTTGAAGTGATAGTACAGGGATGTCTAACAAATTGAGAGCAGAATCATAACTAGTATGCAAATGTTATTTAGGCAATGCAGATTACATTACTACAGCAAAGGTGTAGCGCTGTGGCTTCAATGCAAGCTAGTAACAACATTTAACAGCCATTCCTCATGGGCTGTTTTCTAGCCTGTTGTCAAACTTCAGCACTGTGGATTTATTGTTTTGTTTGCCTGTGACAGTAGTGGATGTTACCACATTCAGCAGTCCTGTGGCTGTTCTGCCAGCTTTGCTAACACATCTGTTTGTGCTCCCTGACCTGCCTCATTAAGAACAAAATAGTGTAGAGCAGCTCACTACTGAAGCTGTTTCAGTTAATTCTGCATATTTTGGTATATCTTTAAGCAAGGTAACTCCTAGTAGGAGAACACTGATGAGCACATGGTTCAATAATGTTTTTGCCAGCACAGCTGTTTGCAGAATGTGTATCTGTCTTTCCTCCTTATGGCAGTTGGATGAAAGCATCTGTTTGCCTGTCTGTGCTGTGGCTGCACCTTTCTTCAAATTTGGAGAGCTATCTGCACTGAAGACTTTAGGGTCATATAATACACTTCTGCTTTCTATCTTTAGAAAATCAGAATTTTTTAAGAACTCTGTTTTCAGTATGGAAAACTTGCTCAGGATATGAAGGATTTTGCTCATTTCTTTTGATGGAATAAGACCATAGGAGATGAAATACACCACTTTGTATTTGGTGCTGTCTGTTCATGATTCTGCACTGTTACCAACACAGTGGCTCTCAAAACTGAAGGTTATGCCTCAGAAGTGTGGCATAGATCAGGGAGAAGAGGAGGAAGCACAAACTGCCTCTCTGTGCAGCCCAGCCTGGGGGTGCTGGCTGCTGCCATGCCTTGTCCCTATTCAGATACTGGTGTCAGGAAGCCTGGCCAGGTCCAGTTTACAGCAGGAAAGCCTAAATGTTGTTCTTGGCCTCTGCTGATTTGTTCTTTGTATAGGTCACCTCCTGATTTTCTACCCTCAGCAATCCATCCACTTATAAATTTATTAGAGTGTCACATAGTTAGTGCATGCCAGATGATGGCTACCAGAAAAGTAGGGCAATCGTGACCGAGTGCAGAAGTTTGGGAAGAGCTGTGCAGGACTGCTGCGGAATATGCTCCTACAGAAAGCAGCTATGTCAGATACTGTGTGGGAAGTGCATTCCTTAATCCACAGCTTTTCACACTTCTATCATTTTTACTTATCCCCCATATTTTTGAATAAATTATGTAATTTATGTTATTGTACCAATCAATTTTATTTTTGTCAGAAGACAATACATCAAAGTTGATGAAAAAGCATTATCATAATTTAAAGTAATTTTATAAAGGGATCATTTGGTTTAAATTTGATTAATTGTAGTATTTGAATGTATCCAGTTTGCATCCACACAGATTTACAGCTAATGGTAACTGAAATTAAGGTGTGTGAAAATTGATCTTTGTTTTTGATAAATGACAGCTCCTTCAGTCCAAGAATGAATTAAAAGCTGATTTACAAGTATCATGTTAAACTTGTTCCAGGATTGATTGTCTATACCCTGATGATTTTCTGACCAAGGTGTAAATTTTTCAGCCAGCAAGATATTGAAAGTGGCATACAGAAGTAATCCTTAATCTAGTGCTCTAATTGCTAACAAGGTCTATTGAGTGCATTAAAATTGTCATTCAGAGTTTGCTATGATTGAAGATAGAGAAAGCTTTTGTTTGTAACTGTTTTCACATATGAATGTAGATTTGAGACCTTTGTATTTTAGGAAAGAAATGTTCTGGGCTTTGTCTCTGACAAAGATGAATATATATATATCTTTTAAAAGTTTGAGAGACTTCTGTAATGATTTTAGTGAAACTATTTCTCTTTGTGTAAAACCCCTATTTTTAGAAATGCTTGCTATGCAAATGCATCTTTAGAAGTGAAAGGCAGTTTCAGATCATGGTGATGTATTGATTTTTAGGAAGTTAAGTCTAAAGCTGAATGCTGGTAGTTCACTTGAAAGTTTTTCATTTTCGTGAACACTTAAAAATAGATGAATTTGAAAGTTTCAATATTGAAATAGCTTCTATAATAAGATGTCTCATAATAAAAATTAACTGAAATTTGAATTTTTCAGTTACCTTCTGAGACAGAGTGACTAAATGTGATTTCACTTAAATTTTGTGTGTAAACCCCTGTAGGAATAGGTGACAATCTGATGCCAAAACACTGGCACCATTTTGCATCTTAGGATAATGAATGTGGATTTTTCCATCATTCTCATATGAAGACAACACTGGAGTCAGCAATGCTTCTTTATAACAATATTGAAGATTTTTGTCACAAGACAGCTGAGTTCATGCTGTTCACTGCTGCCATCATGTGTCACTTAATATATTGCATATACTTTTAAACAGCACCTTGTACTTCAGAAATCAGGCTTGGATTTATAAAGCCTTTACAGCATTTGTCTTTTAACAGGGGACTAATAAAAAACATTGTCTTCACCTGAGTCCTCTAAGCTGGAGGAAAATGTCACTTAGTACTATGTTGAGTTTAGTAGATAAATGGGAAAATTTAGTGAAGAAAATACTTTCCGAATATTAAAATGACAGGCATGATTTAAAATAATGGCTTTGTAATTGCCTCTCTACTGTGGTTCTGAAGTAGAAGGATATTTTTGTGTTAAAAGAAAAAAGATTTCTTAACTCTTTTTGCTGACTAAGACAATTCTCACTGGGAATGTGATTGCAAGTGGTATTTTCTCTGTGGTTAGCAAAACAAGACTGAAGTGTTGGCAGTATAAGTATCCCAGTCTTTTCATTAAAACAGGAAGGTTTTCCTCTTGCAGTGGGATGAGTGGTTTTCAGCACCAGGCAAGCAGGATTTTGGTTTACATCTATGCATAATAATGGGCTCAGAGAATACCTCTCAGAACTATGTTACACAGCTTCTCTGAAATGCTATTTCAGGTACTTTCAAAGGAGATTTAAAATATTCTTTATTCCAGCATAATTTCTAAACAGGAATGATGCTTCAAGTTCAACTAATTATTGCATTTTCTTTTGATGTGGATAATAATCTTGGAATAGTTATGCTGTTCTTTGGGTGGAAGGCCCTGTTACCACCAGAACATCAGAAAAAGCAACAACACACTTTGTGTAACTTGTTTTGATCACAGATCTGCAATATTGACTATAACTTAATCTCCCTTCCTTCTTTTTTCCCCCCTTCAGATATTCGAATACCATTAATGTGGAAAGGCTCTGACCATTTCAGCAAAAAAGAAAGTATGTAAGATGTAATTAATTACTCTGATAAGCAATGCTTATGTCTGTAAATTTAAACTGAATGAGGAAGTTCATTCTCATTTCAACCCCTTTTCTGACCTTTCGTTAGGTCTATATTTTATTCTTTGTTGTGTAAATGATTGTAATTTGAAGTTGCTGGTTGTAGCTAGCTGAGTTAGTTCAAAGTCCTGTGGTTCTGTGTTCAAACCCTACTCCAAAGAGTCCACCTGAGGAAGAATTCCAGAGGAAGCAACAGAAGAATGTTGTATTAAATGGTTAACTGAGAAACTTCTGATTAAACACATTGTTCTATGTCTTGTCTGCACTTGAGAGAGTATATTGGAGGCTGTTTCCAATGAGAAATTTAAATGAAACTTGACTGTTGGTGTTGAGGGTATTATTGGATAGCCTTCAAGTACATGCATTTTGCTGTGTCATGGAGATTAATCCTAAATCTGTTCCAGCTGTCACCTGGCATTGATTTCACTTTGATTTTCAATAGGTTCAGAGATGCAAAGCATGGCAAAATAGCCTAATCCTATGTAGCACATTCATAAAATGATACAGACTTTGGATCAGATGTTATTTTTTTGTGTAAAATCAATTTTACTACACAAAATTACATTTTTACTAATGTTTTGGAAGTTGCTAGCACACACTATACCAGATTAATCACCTTTTTTTTTTTCCCTCCTAATAGAGATAGGCATTTTTCCCCCTTTGTGTATATTGTATTACCTATAAAGGTCAATTATCATAAAATCCTATGATGAAAATCTGTGGTGGGGAGAATTTGAGGGCAATTCCTTAGAGGTCTGAGTGACCATTTTGGGTAGTTTTGTTACTGGCAGTGTTAGTTCTGTGACATGCCTTGTGGCTGATGAAGGTTCTCTGTGGCTCTCTCAGAATCGCAGCGCTACGCAGTGTTCTGTTTGTTCAGCATGGGAGCCGAGGTTTTTGATACTGAGGTGACTCTTGTGGATGAAGCAGTCACAGATATCTGTTTTGAAAATGTAACCATATTGTGAGTATCACTTACTTCTGTTGAATGAAGTACAAATATTGCTGTTTTCTTTTGCAGGTGGATGTGATTATGGATAAGATTGGCTGAGGTCCACTAGGTTTTGCTGTGGGCAAAGGAATCAGTAGAGACTCTGTTCATTTTAGTGGGTGGAGGATCCCCATCTCTGGAAGGCTGGTTTTGTGTACAAAATGATGCTGGTTGGAGATGTGCCAGTTGATCTGTACTTCTTTGCATTTTTGCCCTGCTGAAGCATTTTTCTTTATATAAAGAGATAAACTTGCATCTCAAGGACAGCATTAAATTATTGCTAAAACCTGAAAGCATTATGACATTATAGGTGTAAATGTTATCTGTCCAGCAGGGTACAGTCTCTTTCCTCTGTTACACCTACCTGAGCGTGTGCTTGACTCCACTCCCTGCCTTTTATTTAGAGTCTGTTTTCTGAGGAAGACTGACTGAAAAACTAGAACTACCAAAAACTTTAAATTAAAATCCTGAAAACTGAGTTTAAATCAAATTTTAAACTCTCTTAAACACCCATTCAAGTGAAGAGTGGGGATAAAGATTTAAATCTGCTTCTCAAAATTATGAGACTTAACTATTATAATTTTCAGTGAAGCACTGCAACAAAAGCAGAAAAGGCACCCTAACTTGCCTTGTATCCCACAAGGCATAAAAAGACTTGATAGAAAAGTTTTTGGAATGATTTCATTATGGCATGTGTGTAATGACATGATTTGGATCTGAAAGATGAGGTTAGGCTTCTGGCTTGATGACTAAGCTTGAGAGCAAGAGAATCAGTAAAACTGAAAATGGAGAAAGGTTGTGGGCCAGAGGATGCAGCAGTAGGTAGTTAAGTTGTAAAGGACAGATTTTACTAGATAGCATTTTTTTCAGTAATTTGAAGGCGATGAGGTGCAGCTAGGATATCTTTTAAACAGTTCAGTCTGACTTAGGACCATAGGCAGGGATAGGTTTCCAATCATGTGATTTTTGTGTAACAGTAGAGGGCAGATTTAAGTGTGTGTGAATGTCTTGCCTGTGTATTTCCATAACGTGGGTGTTTTTTCCATTTTTAACCTAAATGTTGAATTTCCTGTTTGTAATTGTTTATGCTGCAATTATCCATCTCATGACCCCAATACCAAGTTACTACTGTGTACTCTAGTCCTTAATTCCATATTAATGTATATCTGTGCCTGAATGGTCTGGCATTGCTTCCCTTGATTAGAAATAGCTTATTTAATTTATAAAGTAGCAGCAGCATTCCTTGGCTCCACACACAGTTTGTTAACAAATGCTCTGAAATTTTCTCCTCTCCCACTTCAGTGATGAAGCAAGCCCAAATTTCCAGGTGAAGGTTGAAGTCTATAGCTGCTGTACAGAAGAGTCTTTATGTATAACAAACACTCCTAAGAAACTGGCAAAGAAACTTAAAACATCCCTCAGCAAAGCTACAGGGAAGAAACTCAAAGCTGCACTGGAAGAAGACAGCACTGAACCCCTTTTGCCTGCTGACCCAGTCATCCAGTAAGCCACATATATTGATGTTCTGGTTTTGTAGCTTTTAAAATAGAAATAGGCCAAATATAATTGTAAATTTTTGGCAAACTGCCAAGAAACTGGTTTTTTCTCTACTTGCCCAAGTGAAAAAAAATTTACATTTTAAATAGGAAATGAGAAAGTAGGTGTGAATTCCAACCATGTCGCTGAGCCTTGGGGCCTGGTTCTGATCTTGAAACACACAAGCAGCCTTTATCTGTGTGCTCCACAGCCAGCCAGCTGGTAAATCCACTGTTCTTTGCAAACTCCATAATATTCTTAGTTTGATCTCTAGGGGAAGTTGAGCTTGTAGTCTGTGTGTGACTCTCTGTCCATCCACCTCTTCTCCTTCCCCCTTCCCTGTTTATTTCCTCCCCCTACTATTTCTGCACCCAGCCAGTGTTGCTCATACCTGATAGGTAGATGTGTACAAGTTCCAAGATGTGTGAAATAGCAAAAGTTTGTGTGTGTAGGCAGGAGAACCCACTCCTGTACCCTCTTCCCTAATTCCACTTGCCAGCTTTTCAGTGAAACTCTGCACTGCCAAAGGCACTTTATGGTTACTTAGCAGGAGATTTCTGAATTCACTTTAGCACAGGACATTTTAAAATGACTTACTGGTTTTCAGTGTTCATAGGCATAAGTGCTTTTCCCAATAATTTACCTGTTTCCTTTTAAAAATTAACTGCCTACTAATATTTTCCAGCTACTTCAATTTCATTGGGATTTAAGCAGGCCAAATACTGAATTTGCAAATATTAATAGCATTGGTTTATTTAATTGATTTATATTTTTTTAGAAATAAATTTTTTTCAAGGAATTCCTTTTTTTGGCAGCTGACAGTAAAGAATCAATGCTTAATTCTTGCTAGGTGTTTAGTCTTAGTCTAGTTTCATATATTTATTTGCTGGGATTTTAAAAGGAAACATTCAAGCATATTCTGTCTTTGTTGAACTGATGTAACTGTAAACTGATTTTTCTGTTTGACTCAAAAACAGACATCCAAGACATCTTATCCACAGAGCAAAACAAATTTTATCACTGCCTTTCCAGTGGGTTCCACCTAATGACAATGCATTTTTCAATGTGCATCATGTCAGGTGGCTGTGCTTCAGCTGAGCCATGAGGCACTGTCATTAGACACAGTTTGGATCAGATATAACCACTGCCTTCTCTGCTCCAGTATGGATTGCCTGTCTTTTCAGGAAAAGCACCAGTAGGCAATTTAAACAGCTGCCTCCTCCCCTGGGTTTTGCTTTTGGTTTCTCAATTGAATTTTCCTTCCCTCCATCTTGGAAGTTTGTTGTTTCTACTCTAGATAATCATCTCACAGTGGCTATTACTTTCTTAACACAATTAAATGAACAATGAAGTGTTAAATAATGGCCTTGCTGGGTGATTAAAATAGTTGTTTGGAAAGAAATGGGTTCTTATAGGCAGAAAATAAGTTGTCAATTTTTTTATAGGTTCCCCCAAGGATTTATATTAGTTAGACCTTGGTATGTAGCCCTTATAAAAGGGAAGAGACTGCAAGATTACAAGAGATCTTTCAAGTATTCCCAGAGAGTTTTACCAGTCCAGCAGGGGAAATTAAACTGCAACAAAAAAGTGAACTTTCTCTATTATGTGAACACCTTTTCTCTGTAGATTTCATTTGTACAAGCCTTTTTCTTTCCAATGCACACATGAGTGAAATTCTCCATTTCCCAAAAACTCTGTGATCCCTCTGTTTCAAACTCCTTGGCTTAGAAATCTCTCTGGTTATTGAGGAAACTCTCAGACTTGGAACTTCTTGAAAAAGCTTTCTGACAAAGGGCTTGATTGGTTGCTTAAGTTAGTTAATTTGGAATATACTGATATTCTCTCTTAATTGTCCCTCATTTAGTTTCTATACAATTTTTGCCTGCTTAGGTTTTCAATTATAATGTATTTTTTTTCTTTTTACATTTTTCATAGAAGAAAAAATGTTTAGTGCAGTTTTGCTATCAAATTGCAGTGTAACCAGGTTGCTCTTTGGATAAATCACTGGAGAGTGTCCCTCAAGTGCTGTTTACTGGTTTGCAGACCTGGCTGTGCAGGTCTGCTTGTTGTTTGATGTTTTGTCCCCCACTGGGCTGAAGGTGCAGCAGCTTCCCTGTCCTGTGTTTGATTTGGCACATCCCCAGTGATATTTAGCTGAAGTACACAGTCTAATCTAGTGGCCTCACTTTTATGGTTGGGTTCTTGTTAGCACCTGAAGGTTATATTTGATTTTACCCTCTATTATTTAAGATCTGATTGAATATTAAGCATATTGAATTTTATTTTTTTTTGCCTCACAAGTCTTCCACTCACTCCTTCACTCACACTGAATGAATGAACTGAGATTGGGATTTCTAACACTGGGTTTAATATTCAGGAATAGATTCTGCAATTGAAGATGTCTTAATTAACATACATGGATGGAGTGTTACAGTTACACCTTCCCACACCCAGGTCTGTGTGGAAACTTGGGTGCCTCTGTCTCTTGATCAGTAAACAGATTTAACAATGAGCCTTTGCCACAGGCATGTTGTGGGGATGAGCTGCTTGGGTTTTTTTAATGAAGTTGTTACATGGAAAAATACTACAGATATGCAAAGTACTGAATGAAATGCAGCAGGCAGATTATTCTTTGTTATACAAAGAAACTGCCATTTAAGGCAGTTAGCAAATTCTCTGAAATGCAAAGGAAAAACACAGTCAACAATCCTGATTAGCCAGTTAAATCTGAAAAATATCTGTAGATAAAACTTTCCTAAATTATATTGCAGCTGCCTGAAAGGAATGACTTGTATTTTAGAATGAAAATGTTACTGTGGAGCATATTTTAAAAGTGAAGTAGCTATTTTTTTTGGCAACGTTGTTGTGGTAATTAGTCATGCTTTAGAAAAAAAAAAGTAACTTTAGAATCAGCACAGCAGTTTTATCTGTGAGAAGAAACTGAACTTTTTGGTACACTTTAAATAGAATGGTAATGCATTGCTCAACTGCTTGGTCAAACATAATCAGTGGAGAATCTTTTGTTAAGGAACAGTTTAGCAGGGAACATATACAAATGCTGATGGTTTTTGTTCAGATTTCCCTCTTGAAATGCTCCATAGCAGTGGTTTTTCACCCAGCATGTTTTATTGTATTTAATTTTCTCTTTGTTCCCTGGAGACAGATATGTGACACACCTCCCCTCCAACAAACTTCCTACTTTTCCTCCTCCTCTGTTCTTAGGGTTAGGGGGAGGTAGACACTCTCCTTACTTATCTGCACAGCTAAAGGTCTGAAAACCCTGTGTTCCCACTGTGCCAGTCAGAAAAATAAAATTAGAGCAGTACTAAGATGGAAAACTATTCTTGATGATCTTAGTTCAATGGTGTCTTCTCAGCTTTTACACCACTAAGCTTTCTTGTGTTCTACTGAAGATATTTTAAGGATCTTGTGCTAGATCCTGTTGGGGAGAGTAGTTAGTGATTTGGAGGGGTTTGTTTTCTTGTGAACTTTGTTCTAACTGCCATTAGCCAGGTGGAATTCCTACTGCACTGCTGGACTATAAATCTGTTACTTGGTCCAATGAGTATTTTAGAGAAAAGGTTAAAAGTACTAAATTTATACCAGTTTATTCCAAGAACTGCATTCCACAATTGCACTGTGCTGAATTGTGAGAGTGATACTTTTTTCCCCTAGGCAAAATGCAAAACTAAGATAAAAGATTCTGAAACCTCTAAGTCCAATAAGTGAAAAGAAATCCTTTCTGCTACAAAACTGACCATAGGATTTCTGTACAGATTTCTGCCTGTGAATAATCAATCTGTTGGATTATATAAAAAATACAGATATAAACAACTGCTTTGTAAAGTGTAGTCTGCACAGGCAAAGCAAAGAGCAGAGCAACATGGAGAAGCATTATAATGCCTTTTAATTTTTAACCTGTATTTTCAGATAAAGTTTGTCATCAGTTGTTCTATTAACTTTAGGAATTTTTGAACCTATTACCAAATCTAATTGCTTTAGGCCTAGGAGTAAGAGCTGCAAACTCTTATTAAAAGTTACTTGGTGTCTGCCTAGAGGAGAGAGGTGCTCAGAGCATGCAGAGGGTGCAGGGGTTTGGACAGCACAGCCTGTGGGCCTGTGTTTGGCTGCTGCTGCCTCTTCAGGAAGCACAAGCCCAGCTGGAGGCAGGGACCACATGAGAGGTGTCCTGGCCTGCAGGTCCCAGAGAGAGGCAGCAGAAGGAGTTGTAAGGAGTGATGGCATTGGCCTGGAACTGGAGGTGCACACGGGGGGCAGGAGATGAGGATCTGGGAAGGACAGCAACAGAATGTGGAACAGTGTTTACAAGGAGAGCCAGACACACAGGAGTTGTGTGGGAAGAGGTTGGAGGTGTCCATCTGTGGTCACTGCCAAGTCCTGCCCCGCACCTTGCTGTGTCCTTGTACCCAAATGTGGTCTCTCAGGTGTGTCTAGACTCCCTTTAATGACTGCCTGAGCAGCACAAAGCAGGAATGTCCTACACATGCCTTTTCTTTCACATCTAGTGGAGCAAAGTTCAGTTTGCTGGCATACACCACTCTGGGGCTGGAAAGCGCTGAGGACAATTTCAGGACCCATAACCTTACCATTACAGGAAATGGTAAGTACATATGGTATCAATTTAAGGAAATAAAAAACCAGTAACATTTTGCATTAAAGTCTTGTAAACTAAAGAGCTTAAAGAGATTATTTTTCTTGATACTCAATATAGAACAACTTTAATAAAATATTTAACGGCTCTAAACCAGGCATCTGTACACAGCTGAATAAACTATAAGTTGAGTAAAATTTCAAGTCCAGATGAAAATTTAATTCCTTTGGGAGTTTCTTCTGTCATTTGCATCTCCATCTTATGTGAGTTGGAGTTGTATACAAATTATTTCCCCTTCCTCACAACCAAGGAAGGGTATCAGAATGAAGAACAGCTTGTTTCTCTGTAGTCAGAAGGAAAGAAGAAAAATTGCTTCAGTTTGGTGAGATTGTTTGAAGCCCAGATTTAACACAGGATGTAGGAGTGTGTGTGCTTGCAGTCTGTGCTGGCTGCTGTCCTTCAGCTTGGGGGCAGCACGAGTTGGGAGCAGCCAGCCTGGATGCTGGCACTGTGGGACTGGTTATGCTGCAGCTAATGGTGGTGTTCTCACTTTTTGGTACTTTGTCCATTATTTTCTGCAAGGATAGCCCCTCCCATAAGCCATCCTCCAATTGTTAACTTGGAGCATGGGACTCTCACTGTTGCTTCTGGGAATTTAAATCATTTACTGGGGTAAACTTGACCTCAGAGGGAATTTCCTTCTTTACATTTCAGTAATTCTGAATAAGTACAGATTTGAAGATTTATGGGGCATTTTTTTCTTGAAGTGTTGGATGAATAATTCTAAGTACCTTTCATATTTGTAAGCCTTTCTTTATTAGTACTTTATATCTTCTTGAAGTTCCTTTTTCTGACATTAATTTACATAATTTAGTCTGGTGAGGAAGGACATATTTTGGTTCATTACAAGCATTTCCAAACCTTGACCAAAGACAGTCACATTAGTGGAACATTGCATTACCTATTTCTAATTACAGAAGAGAAGGGCTATTGCACAGTGGAGCTGAGTGATTCCAATTCATTAGGAACTCCTTGGAACCCTAAATGCTCCTCTAGTGCTGAAGGCAACAGTAGATACAAATTCCTTATTGAAGCAACCTGAAGCAAAGTGCTCGTGTATGAATGTAGCTGTGTGCCACAATGGGATGGGCTCAGGGACTTACCTTTCAAAGAGTTTCTAGCTCTGAAATGAGCCACATTTTATGTAAGAACAACTCTGTTTTTCAGAGCAATATTGCCATTTTTACTTGAAATTATTTTGGAATTTACTAATTTTTTCAATTAAAAAACATTTCCCGAAGACTAACAATCAGTTTTAATCTAATCCCACAGGATTAAATCTCGTTCCTTAAAATATGAAAATATGCTTATTTAGACTCAGGATCTTAATGTAAAAACAGATGTAGAAAGCTCAACTACATGTTCAGGGCAGTTTTTCAGACCTGGGTCTTTGTCTCTTTTGCCTTTTTCTTTCCCCCAGAGGAATCCTCTTTTTGGCTGCCCCTGTATGGGAACATTTGCTGCCGTTTAGTTGTGCAGCCCTCCTGCATGGCCAGGGATATGATGGCAGGATTTCTAAATCAGCAGGTAAGGAGCCCTTGCTTGTTTGCATCCTGGGCTGTCACTAAGAGTCACTTGTTAGAACATGTGCTGTCACCTGAAGTGGTGTGTGGAGAACTGTTGTTCTTTACCTGTTCTGCCTAGAGCAAGGGGGAAACTCTCTCACAGCTACATTTACAAAGGTGCCTTCAGTGGCTGAGCATGGAGAAATCAATGTTTCCTTGGCATGAGTGACGTAGGCTGTTAGTAAAGATCAAGTAGAACTCTTGTTTCAGAGTTGGTGTGCAGTGGTACTTGATGGCATCAGTCCTAGTGATCCCATGGCTCTCATCCTTGTACATAGCCCTTGTTGTGCTGCCACAAGAGTTCTGTCCTGGCATGGTGAATCAGGCTGCTGAACAGAGCCAGATTCAAACTCATCCCTTCAGAAATGATTCATGTGAACTCACTTCACTTCTCTATTTTGGTTTGTTGCACAACTAGGCAAATGAGAAGGTGATAGTGGAGGGCCAGAGGGTCTGGGTCATTTGTCAGGAGTGCTGAATTACAGGCTTTAAACTGATTGTGAAACTGTTATGGTTTTATGAAAGCTGTTGAGAAAATTCATTTGAGGAAGTGGAAATTCTAGACAAATGTCTTTGCTTGACATTTGTTGAATGTACTGTGTATTTCCAAAGTGAAATACTCTTTTTATTTCTATTATTGTGCAATTGCTGTAGCTAATAAAGGTGCTTTCTTTTTTTACACTAGACACCAGATCTAGATTTCATTCTGTGCTAACCAGCAGATTCTGTATTATTAGTGTCACATGGCAAGTCTGTGAAAACTGTAAAACAGCAGAAGACATTTAAAGTACTGCTAACATTTCAGATATCAGTGATTGGAATGTTCTGTAACAGAAAGTCTTTGTTGTAGGAATGAATTTGGTGTGGCTAAGGTTTGATCACTCAGGGCTGGTATGTGTGCACCTTGCAATATTGGTTGTGTTTTAGGTTTATGTTTGGCAATTTCTCACTACTTCTTCCCCTTAGCAAATGGTAGGAGGCCTGACAAGCTGGAGGAGGCTGTACTGTGTACTGAGAGGTGGCAAACTCCTTTGTTATTACTCACCAGAAGAAATTGAGGCCAAAGTGGAGCCAGCATTGACAGTTTCCATCAACAAGGTAACATTGATTGTATGGGGATTTTTTGTTTGTTTTGTTGATTAAACAAAATCAAATGGGGGGTGTGGTTAAAATTAATTTTCTTATTTTGGGGGATGTTCTTTTTAGTTTAAGAAACATGTGCAGTAATTTGGGCTCTAAGCTGCTGGTATGCAGAGTGCTTTATAGGTAGAATGAGGGTGGGATGTACTTCAGTGAAATTTGCAGTCCCCCAGCAGGAACATAACATTCCTTAGCTGTGGATGTAAATTCCTTCTAGTGCATTAGACTGGTTAGCACAGAGGCAAAAAGGAGGGTGTTTTTCTGTAGGAAAAGTAATAACCTTTTATATCACAGCTCTATAAGACAGCCCTTGGAAATGTATTGCTTACAATCCCCAAGCAATGCTTTGGTTAAATTTTGTCCTCAGCAAGGTGGAATTCCAACAAAAGCTTTTTTGTTGTTACGTGTTATTTGGCCACAGTCTTAATTAGAAGGAGAAATGGAAAATTTTTCAAAATATTTTAGTGCCTTAAAATAAGCTGCTTTTCTTAATGCTGGTTTTGTCCAGAGCATAATAACTTTGGAAATGCTGTTCTCTAGGATGATATTACTGCTGTTGTTCATGCCCTGATTGAAAAACCCGAGTTTAAAATGTAATTTTAAAACGTTGCTTACTATTTGGCCAAAGAAGCAGTAATTGACCTGCAGTAATATTTAAATTGGTAATGTTATGGGAAGGACCTTGCAGAATGGCACACATTAGAGGGAACAGATGCTTTCAACAAATGGCACCAAGGGTTACTGTCCCATAAGGATGGGCAGGGGAGTTCAATGTCTGCAGTGCCATGGCTGGGTTCATCTCACAGAGGGAACAGACCCATCTGGGAGCTGTGTTGAGCACAGGCTGCTCTGGGTTCTGCTGCTGCCCTGCAATGCCAGGCAGGCCCAGGCAGGGCAGCTGGGGCAGCAGGAGCCTTGGTCCCACCCTGTTTGCCTCTCACCAGTTCTCTCACCCCGCTCATTTCATGGCTGCACAAACGCCTGGGTGGTGCAAGCATGGGCTCAGCCCTGGCTGGGGACACGTGGGGGCACAGGGTGACAAAGAATGATTCTTACAGCAGCAGAATCAGCTCTGGGTGCCTTGAGGGTTCCTGCAGAGGTGACTGCATTCTTGTTCAGAGTGAGACTGCTATGGAACCCAAACATTTAAATGGGTTGGAACAATGTGACCTGTTTGTGTTAGGATGGTTTTTTTAATTGCTAAGATTTAAATTGATTCCTTAAATAAAATTACCTGTTCTTCTAGTGTTATTTTTTCTTCCAACTGTTCATACATTTACATTAAATAAATATTTATACAGTGATATATATTTAAGTAGGTTTACTTCTTCAGTCACTTTCAATTTCACTAAGTCAGCCTCTGCCACAAATCTGTTTTCCAGCTGTTCACAGTATCAGTTAAGAAATGGTAAACTTTAATAAATTATAGAATGACTAAATAATTCTAAAACATGACAGGAATATTTTTTAAAATTATCTATCACGCTGCCTCATGTCTTTCCTTGGGGTTCTCTGTTTTAGTCTAAATCCTGATTTTGCTTTTCTTTTAAAGTAACCATATTGTACTAAGACATTTTGCTCCTTCGAGTAACCTATGCACCTAGAACCTAAAATCCAGCTTGATAAGCCTTTGCTGATTATCCTTATGTTTGCAGGGTATCCTTAGAGCTAACTTGTAAAAGGTACATGATTTATGTGTCTTACACCATTTTACAAAAATATCAGGCTGCTGGAAAATGACTGTGAATCCTTCTTCAATGGAAATAAAAACAAAAAAAAAAAAAGAAAATGCTATTGAAAACATATTTGGATCCTTTACTACTTAAACAGTTTCTGTTGAAAATAACTTAATGCCTGCAGATGTTTTCTGATTCCTTTGTTATGAAATTTCTCTTAGGGATTAAATGGAAGCAGACTAATCGTATGGGCTTATCTGCTACATGTTGTTAAAGAAATTTCACCCAGCAATTTCAAAGTGAAAGTTGAGACTGAGCATCAACTCTAGACATTCTAACTAAAATCTCTTTGGGTTGCATATGTGGCATTTTCATTTGTAATGTGAAGTTGATCCTTTACATGTAATTTAAAGATACTTTCTGAGAAGTAATGAAATCATCTGGATTTATGAGAAATTCTCTGGAAAATGTTCACACCAATAGCTGTATTTGCAATTCCCTTTGAATTGAGACTTGAAGAAGCCATTAAGACCAGCAAAGTCATTACTTCAGCTTTAGATGACTTCACTGCTACTGCTGTTGAGCAAGAATGGTTCTGCAGTTCCTATTATGCAAGTGCTACTGTTATTGTTCCAGCTAAATGTGATTATAACATATTATATTGCACAACTAAGTAGGAAAAGAGAAATGATATTTTCTGTAGCAAAGAAAATTTACTGGAATCCAATTTGAAGAAATATCCTTTATAGGCCAGTTCCTGATTTTTGTTCAAGTTTTCTTTAATTTGAAATGAAAAATAAAGGCCTTGCCTACACGTGATAGCTTATTAAATTGGTGCACATTCCAGCAGTTCATGTTACTTGCTCAGTGTTTGGAATATATAATCTACTGTGTTTGGTTCATAGATTATACAACTTTTTTTGTGCCATGGGTGCCTGAAGCTTGAGGGGTTCTGGGATCTTGCTTCAAATTGCTGCAGTCCCACGACTTCCTTCCTGGCATGTTTTGCCCATGCAGTCCTGGGGCTCTCTCCGTGCCCCTGCTGATGGCTGAGGGGAGCAGGGTGAGGAGTGAGGGTTTGCAGGCTCAGGCTCATGGGAACACTGCTGACCAGTGCAGCAGGAGCAGAGGCACTAAATCAATTACTTTGAATGACAGTCCTTGGTGGTACAGCTGTTCTGGCCAGGTCAGGTACAGGACTTTGTTGGGAAATGTGGTAATGGTTGCAGCAGTGTAACTTCAAGGGAACCATCCATATTTCTAGGGAAGCAGGGAGTTCACCCTTGGGCTGGAGCAGAGGAATATGGATGTCAGTTCTGGACCATGTGAACTTTTAGGGAGCCAGCAGCATGAGCAATATTCACTCTGTGTGTTGGGGAACTCCAGCACAGGGAAATGAGATAAGCCCTGAAAATATCTGTATTCTCTGTGGTAAGGACTTTGTCCCACTGCTTGGCTTAGGAAAAGCCTTCATAGCTGTGAAAATACACTGGAAAAGCACAGACTAATTAAGTACCTCCCAATGTCTGGTGTCTCATATCCCAGTGCTCAGTTTAGTCTTGCAGTTGCTTGAAAGAGGTTGTGGATGCAGGCAGGGGAAGCAGGTGGAACACCCAGATCCTTGTACCACACGTGCTCAAACTGAGCAGTTTGAAAGCTGCTTCGTTGGCTCACTGCTGCTTCACAAAATGCTGGCTGGTCATGTATTGCTATCTCCTTTTCCATGCTTTCAGCGGCTGCATTGCTCCTAGAACAATGGCACAGACATCCTGATATTGCTTATCCATGTCATACTGACCAGCCAGTGGCCAGGAGGATGTCACATTAGTACAAGCTCACAAAACAAGGAAGGGACAAAATATTAACTGATAGACTGAATTTGGTCTTCTGCATAAATGCGGTTGAAAGCCATAATTTGAAATGTAACCATTATTCCCTACTTGATTAAAAAAATTCATGGAAATTATTAATATTACAACAGAAACCAATGCATGTACAGGTTATACTTGCTTCCAGTGTTGTACTGAATTTCAGTTTATTTTTTTTGTACTAAAAACATGAAGAGAGTTGTTATATGTGATTTGATTTGTTTAACCTTAAAATAGATACACAGACCTTGGTCTCTAGGTTATTCAGTGTTTTTAAGAACTGTAATTTGTTCTGATGTCTTAAAATGATCTTTATAACCAGTGCTTTTTAGTGTGTCAGGAATGGCTTATCAGGGAAATCTTGTACTTCAGCAGTAAAAAATTCTCTCTGTGTCTTCTTGTTGGCTTAAAATACAAGCTTTCCAGGGAGGTATTATCAGGCAAAGAGATTTTATTTGTGGGGAGAAATACAGAGTAAGGCTGGTATTTACAAATACCGTATATTTTTCCCTTTTAGTCTTTCCCTATCTTCAAAGAAACAATCTTTTGCATAAAGAATATAAAACTGGCTTCAGCCTCCCCAGAAGAGTCACTTGAGTTCAAGATTCAATTGTTTTCCTGTTGCCATCCACTGATTGTTCTGCTCTTTACAATTGCTACAGCAGAGTTGGTTCAGTTTTTTTATAAGACTGGGAAAGATATTATTACAACATGGTAAATTAAAACACTTTTTGTTGTGTTTTTTTGGGGTGGTTTTTCTGCTTGTTTTGTTTTGTTTTGAATAGCTTTTTGTTGGTTTGGGTTTTGCTTTTATGAAGTGGAACTGGGCATGTCGTGTAATTCACCCAAGGCTGACAAATTCATCAGCCCATTGCTGCAATGGCGTCTCGTACCACTGCTGAAATATTCAAGCATCAGACAAGAGATTGCTGCTTGAGGACTCATCTCCTTTGAATAATACCACAGTTGTGGGATAAAACCTGCAGCAAACATCATTAAATAAACTTGTGTGTATGGTATGCTTGAAGTTCTTACCTGTCAAATGTTAATCTATTTGATTTCATTTTTTGCTGGTATCTATGGTTACCTGAGTTAATGGGATATAGAGCACTGATGGATGAATTACTTCATCTCCTATTTTTAGACAGAAGAATTTAAATGAACATATCCATCAGATATGCTACAAGCAGTTGTTGGTATTTCAAATGGTTACTTCAGTAATGCATTTAAAATCTGGGGAATGGTCTGTAGAGTAACTTTTGTTTTTCTGAGTATCGGAACTAGGCTTATCCCCATGGGACCCGTGCGTAAACCTAATTTCTGTAGGTGTATGTTTAATGTCTTTAGCAGATGTTTGACATTTGCTTGAGTTGTGTAGAAGGGAACTGGTTGTTCCGTCCTCCCTGATTTTGAGGAGCCACCTTTGTGGTCAGGTTCCCTGTCCATCCAGACAGGAGATGTTTGAACACAGCCCTGGCTGTGACTGTTGGCATCCTTCAAATCCTGGGCACTGCCCATGCCAGGAGTGCCCCGGGGGGGCAGGGGGGCAGTGCAGGCTCCTGCTGTGTGTTGGGTGTCCTCACGTCCTGCTGTCTGCAGGGGGCTGCCTGCTGCCCTGGCCCCGGAGCTCACCACTCTGCTCTCCTGGGTGTGCCACAAATCCTCTGAGGAGCAGTGCTGTAATGGGCTGCTGCTTCTCCAGTCAGCTCAAGTTGCACATGCAAAGATATTCCCAGGGCTTCTCCTTTGCTTGTACAAATAAAGTGATGTTAGTTGTTTTAATTTGCTCACCATGTTGTGAGGAGCAGCAATGTTGACCAGTTGCCTTCTGGAATTCTTTTAGTTGTGTTTTAGCTAAACTTGAAGCTTTTAGCATTTTTCACACGCACAAAAATCACTGAGTTAGGGATAAGTGGTTTGTTTGTTTTTTTTTTAAATTGTAGTAATGCCATAACAAAGAAAGTAAATACTCTGAAAATACCACTGGATCTAGTCTAGAGCAATTGAACTATGTCCCTGAACAGAAGGAAAAATCTTAACAGTGCTGCTGTGTAATATGAGAGCTTTTCTAACTCTAGCTGAAGAGATTTTTTAGACTTGTGTTATACTTCTTGGATATATATACACACACATTTAATTATTTCTATGTAGTTTTTCCTAATTAAGTTAAAACTAAAATGTCTATTTTAAAATGGGAAATATTTTTTTTTCTATTAGAGCAAAATCTTATTCTAGTAAAACTGTATGGGTTACTGCTACAAATGCCCCTTTAAAGATGGTCTAGGTAAGTTTCTTTTTAATTTTCCTGTCACTATTGTATGACCCTGAATGTCCTGCTGCACTAAGATGAACATTAAAAGGATACAAGTTTCCAATGCACTGGGTAAACAATGGCCCACAGAAGTGCAGTAGCAGGTGTAAATGGTGGCTGTAATAATGTGCTTGTCCATCTGAATCGTGTGGAGAAAAGGAGCTGCTTGCTGTTATTGTAGATTATTCACTAAACTGCTGTGGAGAAGAGTGAGCACTGTGAGGTGAGCTGGTGAAGGTAGAGAGAAGGGGAACACAGAATTACAGTACATTCTGTAATTCACACTGAACTGTGGTAATTGTGCTTTATTCCCTTATTTTTCATGTTTTATGATAAAGCAATTTTATAATCAGTTCCTGACATTGGTTCTTTTTTTTCAATTGGGTATTAATCTGAAGTAGACAAAAAAGCAAATTCTACCTTCCTTACACTGTCACTGGCCCTAAGCTGATGGCAGTGTGAAGCAGGAAGCCATCAGCACAGTTTGTTGTTCCTAGGAAACCAGGATTCGAGCTGTGGATAAGGACTCCAGCAGAAGAGCCAATAACTTCTCTGTTATCAACCCCGTGTCTGGAGAGGGTGTGACGCAACGTTTTGCTGCTGACAGTAGGGATGAACTTCATCAGTGGATGGAGGCTTTCTGGCAGCACTTTTATGATCTGAGTAAGTAAGCAGTGCTGGCAGCGTGCCCTCCAAATGGGGCATTATGTAACATCAAAGGGATCTTTGAGCAATTTGAATTGCAATTGCCTCATAAGCCTTTGTTTGCAGCAACAAGAAGAAAGCTGTTCTCTGGGATAATGCTGGGTGGTGGTCGAAGTCGTTGGAAGGCAAATATTTGACTAAACCAAAGTCCATGTGTTCTTGCAGGAAATGAGAGGCAGAGTATGTCCATCAATCTCAAAAACTTCTTCTCTCAGCCGTGTTCTTGATAATGTTCTTAAAGACTGATAAATTCTCACCATTTCTTCCTCCTTCCCACTGTAGTGGGAGGAGTCCACCTCTGCCTGGGCACCCAACCAGTGCTGTGCTGCTTTGGTGAGATCCTGCAGTATCAAACCTTGGTGTGGAAGCCTTAGTGACAGGTGGTGAGGATGCTGGAATCGTGTGGGGCCTTGGCTGGGATGTGGATTCAGCCAGCTCTTGGGAGCAGTCACAAGTAAACTTGGGGTTTCCTTGCATAGCAATGTTATGGATGAATTAAATTACAATTTGTTATACTAGGGATTGCTTAATTCTGTTGTAGTTCAAAGGTTTTGGCAGCTCTCATCACATGGGAATATGCTCACGCAGCCACACTCCATCCAGCTGGGCAAATACCCACTGCTTACCTGGGTCTGGTAAAAGCTGCACCTCAGCCTTTGTAACAGATGTTAAAGGCAAACCTCTGGAATAGCCCTGATCTTACATGGCAGAGGGAACTCATTTATTGTGTGAAATATTGTTGAAATTGTATATTGTGCTCCTTGTTTATCACCAAATCTTTATTATAAAAACTACATAGATTAATTTGCCTGTGTCTTTTTTCTCTGCTTTCTGCTTGACTCACAGATTTACTGAGAGTAGAGACTGTCAGCTTTTGTGCTGCCATTGACAAAGTAGAGTTGCTTCCTGACAGGCATTTTTATCAGGTCAGAAAACAAAACCAGGTCAATTAATGAAATATCAGTCTTTAGTCAGAGACAACACCAATCGAATAATTGAACTGAGACTATAGAAACTCAGAGTCATAGTTGTATTTCCAGTCATTTCTAAGTTTGATTTACAATGAGAAAAAGCACTATCAATTAACGAAACACACCAAGCAAAAACTAGGGCATCCTCTTTAAATTATCTGTAGAGTAGGGTAAAAGATCTACTTCTTATTCATTATAGATAGAATACTACCCACAGATTTTTTGAGACATTTTCTTTAGATTCAGAAAAAAATGGGTCACTTGGCATTTAAATGCCTTTTTTCTTCCCTGGTTCTAAAATTCTCTTAAAATTAATGTGCTCAGAAAACTTGGAATGATTGGTATGAACAAAGTAATTTTACTGTGTCTTGTTTTCCTTAAGGTCAAAATCTATTTATAGAAAAAGAGATTTCCTTGTCTGCTAAGGGATAAAAGGCAAGTTATCCTCTATTAAAAACAGAATATTCCTTTGCCATGACATTGTAACATTGCTGTATAACATCCAGCTTGCAGGATATTGGAGGTTGTTCCTGATAACTTGATGAACCTTCCCAAACCTTAATTTTTTTCTTTTTTTTCCCCTTGGATTTATACTGTTTGGGGATTTGAAGGCAAATTATGATCTTTAACCAGCATAGTCTGACAGTAATGCTGGGATGCTTAAATTCCATCTAGGATCTTATGACCTTTGTGCTAAGAGAATGAATACAGGGATGAAAATACAAATGCATCCTGAGCATTCCTGCTAAACAAAAGTAAATTCTCACTGTTTAGTATTACTTTGGAGATAGTTTCCTGACACAACCTAATAACTTCCATTTTTTTTCCAGGCTGATGTGTTTAAGTTCCAGTCATTGTTCTCTTTTCTCTCTCAGGCCAGTGGAAGCATTGTTGTGAGGAACTTATGAAAATTGAGATTATGTCACCACGGAAACCACCTTTGTTCTTGACAAAGGAAGCGACCTCCGTCTACCATGATATGAGTAAGTGGGATTTGCCTTTTCAAGTTGCAGAGTAACAGAAACAACATTGTCTGAATTCAGATGGCTTCTGGTGTGGTGGTGAAACACTGAGTTTTTCAAGGACAATTCAGACAATGAAAGAGCAACATAACTGCATACCAAGGAGTTGATATTAAATCTGAATTTGTAATAGTGCAAATAATGAATACATTTTTATACCTTGAGCTAAAAAATCTGCAGTCTACCCTGAACACACTGAAAACAGCTGTCACTAGAAATAAACACTCATGCTAGAGTGGTATACAGCTCAGGAAATGTAAAGGTAAAATAGTCCAGCTTGCAAACCAATTGCATGAAATTAATCTGCTGTTCTTAGAGCTATGTGAAGGCTCACCCAGCATAACTTACCTAATTTTTTGGTCTTTGGCAATGATGTTGAAAAATATGCTTGGAAAATCTAGCTAGAGCATATCTGGGACCTGTATTTTTGCAGAGAAAAATGGTATGCAGCAGGATTTTTTTAATAGTTTTGTTACAGAAATAATATTTACAGACTAGAAAAAGTAGGTCACTTTGTTTTACTGGATCCCATGCAGTATTGACTGAGAAACACTGTACAACTCTAAATGCCTGACTGCTTGCTGCTTGGGATGGAGCTGTGATGATGCTCAGATTGCCATGTGGGTCACTGAGTTACCATGCATCAGAGCACTGAACAGTCAGGTTTTATCTAAGCTGTGAATGCAGAGCAGAAATGCAGTAAATGAACCACACAGAAGCTTTACAGAGGTAACGTGGTAGCATAATTCCAGGGATACACATGTACCTCAGTGAGGAGCAGAACACAAACTCCATTTCACTCTTAACACACCATTTTTTCCTGGATTATATACAGTTTTTGTAGCACCCTGTACCCAGCACTGGTGAGTCACTTCAAATCCTGTGCTCAGCTCTGGGCCCCTCACTACAAGAAAGGCATTGTGGGGCTAGAATGTGTCCAGAGAAGGGCAATGGAGCTGGGGAAGGGTCTGGAGCACACAGGAGATGGGGAGTGCCTGAGGGAGCTGGGGGTGTTCAGCCTGAAGAAAAGGAGGCTCAAGGGGACCTTATGGTTCTCTACAAGTACCTGGAAGGAGATTGGAGCCAGAGATTCAGGCCCTTTTCTCAAGTAAGGAGTGATAGGACAAGAGGAAACAACCTCCAGTTGCCCCAGGGGAGGTTTAGATTGGATATTAGGAAGCCAGAAAGGGTTATCAAGCAGAGGCACAGGCTGCAGTGGTGGGGACACCATTTTGGAGGTATTTGAAAGACAGATGTGCAGATGTGGTGCTCAGGGACATGGGTTGGTGGTGGACTTGGCAGGGTTAACAGCTGGACTTGGTGACCTTTACAGGCCTTTTCCAACCCACACTGTTCTGTGACTCTATTGAAAATCAGGTACTGCTGCTGTTTGAGGCTGGTTCTACTGCAGTGTACATGGAAAACTCAGTAAGAAGAATAAGAAATTGAGCAAGACAGTCCTGAGGCTCATAGAGAAAAATGATATATGTAAAGATGTCCCATTTTCTACAGACTGGCAGCACAGTACTATTTAGTCAGACTTTCATGGGCCTCCTGTGAAACAAAATTTTCAAAGCACTGTACAACAAAATGCATTTAATAACTAATACATACAGGTTTCCCTGTAGTACCTTATTTTTTCTTTTACTTGGAAAGAAATATCAGTGCCTACCCTGCTGCCTCAATGCCAGCTGTCACAAAAATAATTCCTTCCTGTCGCCTCAGTTCTCTCTTGGATAGCATATGTAACGTTTTCCATTTCATCCATTAATACTCTTAGTTCAGACTTAGTGAGACAGTTAATACAGGTTTGTATTCTGAGTAGTAATAAGAAAATAGAAGTAAAATCATTGGTGGTGTTTTAATCTGGGTTAATTGCTGTCCCTTAAAATTACAGGCATTGATTCTCCAGTGAAACCTGAGGGCTTAGCTGATATCATACATAGGAAAATTGAAGAGAGCGATGGTGAGTTCCTTCTTGGCCAGCAGAAAGAGCCTGCATCTGCCCTGTGGGCGTCACTCTTTGATGGATCTCATGAGATGACTGTTCACAAAAACACGCATCCAGACCCCAATGCTACCAGCCCCAATGACAGCAGAGGAAAGAAAAGAAGAGCTCCACCTCCACCCTCTGATAAGTCACCCTACAGTGCAGAAGCCCAGGTGAACACAGAGCAGCTGGGCAAGGAAAACTGGGGGAAGCCTGACCACACACCTGCCTGTAGCTCCTCCTTTGAGTTGGTGTTAGCTACGAAGATGCAGCAGCTGCAAACCCCCATTGCTCCCCCTCACAAAATTGGCCTTTGTGGGAAAAGTGGTTTAGCTGGCCTGGGGAATCCTGTTTCTCTGCTGAGCAAGACCAAGTCTGAAACCAAACCAGTCCCAACCCCTAGACATAAAGGCATCACAGAAATACTAGACCCCAGGTCCTGGCTGCATCCATAGGCATCATATTTAGCTTAGAGGAGTCTTTGGAATTTAAAGTTTCTCAGCCTTCTCCTAATATCCTTCATTAAAAGTAGATTTTAGCATTTAGCTCAAGTGTTTCCTGTGAGCCAGGGCATTACTGCTAGCTGCAGTCTCAGCTGTATTCATTAGTGCTCTATCTGAATAATTGCACTAGAATGGGGGGGTGTTTCTCTGTCTGAAGTAACGGTGCTATTTCTGAAAACAATAGTTCAGTACTTTCCTCTTGAAAAAACCACAGTGTTCAGGGTAAGCTCAGCTGTCCCCACAGCAGGGATGTTCCCAGGGCCTCCTACCAGTCCCTCAGCTTAGCCCATCCACAGCTCCTCAGACTACTCAAGTGGGAATTCACACATATTCAGCACAGATCTTGCAAAGCTGATTTTCTTGGGCTCCATGCTTGCTGCATCCTCTCAATCCCTTGCTGTTTAGGAAACACTGCCTATATGGTAATCGAGTATGAAAAGCTTTTGTGCTGTTCTGAATGGCTCTGTAACTCCATACAAATTTCTGAGGCAGTTCCCTCAATTTAGTGTGGGATTTCCCAAGTTCCTGCTGGTTCATGTGCAATTGGAATGGACCAGAATTATCTGTCTTTGAGCAAGGATATGATCCATCACTGCTGGTTTATTTTGGGCTAAGACAAGCATTCAAAAGCAGTTGCTTGGGTATGTGCTCATCTTAGGGTTGTTTTTCCTGATAAACGTGGTCTGTACCACAGCTCTCCTTTGTGGAGCCTCTCAGCTGTTCCTGCTGGGGCGCTGGTTTGTAAACAGGCAGTGATACTGGTAACAAACAGGGCTTTGCACCACTTGTTCCTTCTGCAATAGCACAGAATAAGCACTTCAGGTGAAGATACTGAACTCTGAGATTCTTTCATCAGACTGTTCACTCCTGTTTCACTTCTATAAGAAGTATGGGTTGTTAGGGTTCCTGTGGCACCTACAAAGCATCTACTACATAAGGAAGAGCTGTGTTCTCTGGGATCCACAGCTTAAATACCCAGCCATTTCCTTGGCTGATGCATTTGTCTCAGATGCTGGAACTTATCCAAGGGCAAAGGTCTGCTTGCAGTTCTCCCTCTGGAGACTTGGTGCTCAGACCTGTGTTGAGAGGGTCATATCAGTGACTGTACACATACAGTTCTTTTTTTTTTTTTTTTTCCAAAAATGTGGATGGCTCTGGGAGCTTTATCATTTCTCCATGACATACTGTGGGCATGGTTGGTTGGTTGTTTTATTTTCTTTTATTTTTTGTCTTCAGCTGAGCTCTTGGCTCCACAGTTGTAAAGGTATCTGCTGAATTCCCTCAGTAGTTCATTCAGGGATGGGGTTGAGAGGGAGGTTTCATTTACAAATCCTTTTGCAGGATTAGAGCCCTTTGTTCTAGAATGTCCTTGTTCATTCTTCATTTAATCACGTTCCATTTTCCCTCTGAAACAACCATAATCATTCTTACAATAAATCATGCTGTTACTTAAGTGGATGGTTTGTGAATGGCTTATAAATAGGAACAGAAAAACTGAAGAAAAACTACATGATTATGTAAATCAGACAGTCAACTAAGTGGACTGTACAACTCTGAACAAGAAATGGGAAAAATTGGGAGGGGGGGAAGAATATTTTCCAAAATGCAGCTGCAGTTTATTTAGCTTTAAATCTAGACTTAAATGGTTCTGTGCTCAGAAAGAAAAAAACACATTTTCTTGGTAACCCCCTTTAATTTTGTAGCTATATTTTTAAGAAATCTCTTAAATATGTAAGGATAGAAGGCACCATAATGAGGATTTATTTTTACATTCAACAGACCATTGAATTTCAACAAGCTGTTTCTCTATTAAATTCAGTGGCTTTGTTTTGAACCGAACATAGGTATTTTTGCAAGGCATTTAATATTAATTTGAAGGCTTCAAGTGATGAGAATTCACTCATACCTCCTGTTGCAATACTTGATTACCCCAGGTACATTCTTCACTTGATTTTCTATTTGCATTTCTAGCTCCACCTTAAGTTATTTTGGTCTTTTTATGCATTTGATTGCTTATATTGATCTCTGTAGTATCAGCTTTTCTAATTGCCTGTGTGTAGTTATAAATCATGATTATGTCCCTTTTAACCTTTCCTCTGATGAGACTGAATTCCTTAACTTTCCTATGGCAGTGGATGTTATCCAAGACTAATTAATCTTCACGTTCCCTGGATTTCTCATGTACAGAAGTATTTGTAAGGGTGACATCTGCATTAGATGCCACATGTCAGTAGTGATCCATCAGGACTGTACAGAACCAGAATGTGATCCTCTTGCTCTGATGAATATCTCCCTCTCTCTTCTCAAGAACTGCATTTTCTTTTCTTTTCTTTTTTTTTTTTTTTTTTGTGGAAATGTTGCTTTGGATGCTGACTGTTATGGGCCAAGTCCTCTTCAGAGTCTTTCTCAAGAATGTGGTACATCATCCTCTTATTATCTTACCTTATATATTCTTGGAAATACAGATAGTATTTTAGCAGCATTAAAATACTGCTCATGAAGTGATCCAGATTGCTCTGTGTAAGTGACCTGTCCTCATTCTTTACTACTCCAGCAGTCTGCATGTCCTTTGCAAATTTATTGCAAGTGATTTTTACAGTTTATTCCAGATCATTGATTTTTAAAATTGAATGCAAGGTAAGGTTTGTAGAGAGAGGTGATAAGTTTTTATTACATCAGTGACATGGGTAGGGGGTGGGGAAAGCAAACAGGCAGGCAATTGAATTTCTGTCCCTTTTATCCCAGAGCTTTTAAAACTTTCAGTAAGATGGCAAACAGCTAAATTTCTTGCTGAATCCCTATTAATAGTGTATCTTGACATTATTATTGTGATATTTTAAAGAAAATTACATGTTCATTTTTTTTTTTCAGAAAGTTACTCAGGGTTCTTGTGGGTAACACCTCAGTGCAGGTGTCTTTGCAAGCCAAGATTTAACATATCTAAAATACAATCTGTTGCTCAAGACCTGTTCTCCATGAAGCTGTGTTGCTATTTTATATCTATCCTTAAATTAGGCTCATGTGGGCCAGTTCATGATACTGCAGTGAGCACCACTAAGCAAACAAATCCATTCATTATTCTGTTCATCTGCTTCAGAACTACATAATCCCTGTTATGAAGAAAGAGGTGATTCAGGTTTTAGTGTTTATTGTTACTTTGCCTTCTTTCCCCTGTCCTGTTCTGTGTTGCCATTAGTGCCTTTGCATCTTCTGTGAAGCAAGTTGGTTTAACTAATAAAACCTGCAGGCTCCCAGGAAACACAGAGCTCAGCTATCCAATAAAGTCAGGGCCCCTGGAGGAGCTGCTGCTCCCAGGCAGCAGAGGAGAATGTAATGTTCCACCATCTTAGCAGCTGCATTCAATGAGGATCCTTTAATTGCATGGCTCAAAATATCAGGGATCAGAACCCAGAAGTCATTTGGCAGATTGCTGCTGGGATGAGGCTTGGAGGACCTGTGGCTGCTCCCAGCCCTTGTGTCCCATTCCCCTGGTTCACATTTGTGTAGGCAAGCTGGAATGCTGTCAGCTGCCTGGGAAGTCCATTGAGAAACACCTCTGCCAGGGTGAATGGCTCCAATGATCCAGTGTAGCACAGGGAGGACGCTGGTGGCACCTGCTGAACCACACGTGGGATTAGAGACTTCTCTGAGGAACGTGTCAGGCCTGCTCTGGAAACTGTACCTGCTTGTTCTCTGCTGGGATTAATTAATGCTGCTTAAAGCCAGAATTGAGTGATCCAATGCAGTCTTGAAGTGGGGGAGACAGAAGTCAGCCTGAACTATTCTTTTAGGAAGTACAGCTTGAAATTAATTGCTAGTTCAAACTTGAATATAAATTTCACAGAACATGAACTTCTGAAATGTTGACTGAACAAAGCCTTAACTTATTAACTTTTTATATTTACCTAATGTCTTCAGCTGTTCACTTGGTGTTGGAATGGTAGACGGTACTTTCTGTGGTTTTAAAGGCATTACCTTCAAATGCTTATATTTTTACTAGAACTGTGGGGTTTTTTCCCGTGGTAATAATACTAATAGTTATTTTATGGTGGCTTGTACGTATTTGAAAATACTGTCATAGTATTCAGAGTTGATTTCTAATTAATGCAAACTGCCTTAATAGAAAAATGGAAATTTGGACACTAATGTATTGTGAAATGTTAGAACAGAAATCTTCTTATTCTGCTGCTAGCATATTGTATTTCTGTTAAAATATGCAAGTGAAATTAAAAACGTTTCTAGAATAAAAGGTTTTTGGTGTAATTTCTTTCAATCTGGAACTACATTAAGCTTTACTCCAGTGTATAAGCCACGGGTGATGGCTGCTGTAAAATGAGAGCTCAGGAGTGGCTGCTTTTCCCTTGGGCCTGCCATGAATGTACCCCTGTAGGCTCATACTGACAGCAGCAAACAGTGTCAGCCTCAGGTTTCTGCCCTGCATGAAGGGAGGAAAAGCCAAACTGGCTTTAATCAGTTAAATCAGTGCTCCCTGCCATTCACTGAATCCAACAGACACCACCCTGAGTGAGCAGATAAAGTCAGAAATGTTATGAGATGCACTCTTTTCCACAAATGTGCCAAAACAAAACACCCTGGTTTAGCTTTCATCTTACATCTCTCACAGTCATGGAGGAAAAGATGCCATGGCACAGATTTACATCATGCTCTCTGCCTTGTAAGGTGGCTTCATAAATTAGCCACTGACATCCATTGATTAATTAATTAATCCATCCATTAATTGTTTTCCTTTCCCAGGCACCCTTGTGCTGAAGGGGAACTCTTACCCACCTCAGCAGCTAGAGCTCAGTGTGACACTGCTAATTTAGAGCTAACTGAGCTGCTCAAGTAAAGTGTTCTTTTGACCCAGTTATAAAATTACTGTAATAAATGCAAAAGGAATTGCTAGACATTTTAATTTTGGAATAAGAGTCCATGAAAAAAACAAAGTGGGATTGGCAATTGCAAGGCAGGACAGTGCAGCTGAGTGATTTAATGAAAATTGTGCTGCAGCTAAAGCTGCTGCAGTTTGCTTTAAGCAATCATGGGAATATGATATGATGCTCTCTTCATATAACCATTAGCAAATGGTTAAACTGTAATTGTTCCATATATGTATTATATACTCACAAAAACCCCAGTTTGTGAGACATCAAAATAAATGGCTTTTTATGAGGAAAGAACAATCTTTCAAGATTTTTGTATCAAGATAGCTTTCTAAATGTTTTTTATGTACCTCCCCAAAGGGAGAAAATTTATAATAACTAGTGAAGTGTCTTTTATTCTGTTACAGTATTTCTTCACATTTCTATAAACTTCTTGCAAAATAGCTACAAAAAGACATTATTTATAATATATGTTGTTTCACCTGAAGGGTTTTTTGCAGCTCTTGTCCAGTGTTTGGTAGTGATACAGGAATGCTTGCAGAAGAAAGTCATTTCATCCACAGCCTCTTCCCAGCCCTTAGTAATTACAGGCTTTTTAATATGCAGACGTGGGAAGCCTTTTAGTCTGTCAAAGTTTCACTTTATGTCTCTGTCTGGACATGAATTCAGAGTGGCAGTTGAAAGTAAAAAATTGTATTCTTTAATTTACTTAAATTTTGGCATCACTGCTGTCTTGTAGCACTTGCAGCTTGATGATATGCCACAAGAGTTTTCTTTCCAAGTTTTCTTTTCTTTTTAAAATTTGTGTATTTTCTTTTGCTAAGAAGGAAAGGGTCAGCAAGTGTTCATCACATTCCTTTTTCCATCACTGACTATAAAAGTGGTTCCAAATACAAATATCATTGATTAAGTTTTATCACCCTAAAGGAAAATGGTCCCACTCTTTTCCATCTTTGTTTGGATTATATTTTCCATTTTCTAATTAGTGTCTATTTCAAAATCCCACATATATTTTGATGATATCTTTCTTGAGCTGGGTGCCCAGAGCTGAACACGCACTACTTGCTCAGGGGCACTCTTGATTTACAAGAACAGAATATGTTCATTAATATTGCCTCCATTTTAGCTACTCATTGTGCATTAGCAAAAACCAAATCAAAATATTTCTATCACTCTGTGGCCAGAATGGTGTGTGCCTAAATAAAGATGGTAACTTAGGCAAGGGAAGATCTCAGTGTTGTTCTAGTGAGCTTAACATCTCACCAATTTCTCAAT